GACAGTTGTGGTCAAGATTCCATTTGATGTAGTGTTGAAATCCTTAAAATGCAGCACCCATTGATCTTCAGGGAGGACAGCAGGATTTATGAGTGAGGAAGCAGCTCCAGTGTCGATGAAAGCAATAACCCGAGTTGGTTTATCCCATTTGGATGAATAAACTTTGAGTTCTACTTGAGGAACGACTACGAGAGCATTGATCTCTTCTCGGGCTTCGATCACCGATTCTAAAATTTGTTAGCGATCATTGCCTTGATCTTCATAGATATCAAGAGAGAATAAAGTTTCTTCACTGGGTTCATCATCCACAGAGAATATGGATTCAAGGTCCTCCTCTTTTCCGAGATGTATGCCAGTGTAATCTTCAAACTCTTCAAGGAGTTTGACAGATCTTCTTGATTGGGGACAGTTTTTTGCAAAGTGTCCAATCTTGTGGCAAATAAAGCAACTGTTTCTTGTGAAAATTTCCTGGCCTTCTACGTCTGAAATATTTTGTGCGTCTTTTGGATCTTGATTTTCCATATGGAATTCTTGGCCATCTAAATCTCCTGAAACCTTTCTATCGCCTAGATGTGTGGGAGGAACATCCTGTGGCAGTGATCAAATCGGATCTGTGACATGCTTTGTCAAGCGCTGGATTATGGTTGATAATTTGTTTTAGGGCTGAGCGCTTTGTACAAATGTCTTCCAATGCTACAAAAATAGCTTGCCTGATATAGCCGACTTGTGGGACTGTTATTGATTGAAACTTTTCTTCTATGATGGTCATGGTTCGGCTTGCTAACAACTTTGGAAGGGAAGAGACAAAGGCTTGCTTCAAGTTGATGTCTCCGCCGATTTCAAAATATATTTTTGCCATTTTTTGGAAATGCCTGTCAATGTCATTTCTGTCGAATGACACACACTCCGTCTCAAAGAGTTGTCTTCGCATTTTCTCCTGTCTTTGACCAGTATCTCCACAGAAAACATCATGTAGGAGCCTGATGTTGAAGGCAAAATCTTGGGACGTAAGGAAAGTATTTTTGTCTTGAATCCCAAGTGAGTTCCACCAATCTCTGAGAATTCCTGAGCACCGTGAAGTTAGTTATGATAGGATGATATACTTTTCTCGTTCCACCAGATTTTTGATCACCATCCAAGTATAGAAATCTTGGATCCTTTGAGGCTATTTTGAAACCTTGACGTCATCTAAGGTGAAAGTGTGGAAACCAGTTCCAACTGGTTTTGACGCCATGGGCTCATATCTCCTTTCTGGGATTGGTTCATCCATCATGCCTTCTTGTTCCTCGTCTACTTCAGATATTTCTAGGTCTCTAGGTTGGCTCACAAATATTGGGGGATCATCTTCTTCGGAAGAGTTTGTTGTGGAATTATTGCTTGATTGAGAGCTATCTTCCATTGTATCATCGTCTGATGAATTTAGAGATTCCGACCATGTGGTATCTCCTTCTGACATGTATCTTGGCTGGAAGACATAGAGGTCAGGAGTCTTGTGATTAGGAATCATCAGACTTTCAGGGTTGGACCCTTTCGAACTTTCTCCTTGGTCTCGCCTTTTCTTGGTTTGTTTCTTGGCTGAAAGAGCATCTTTCCTTTCCCAAACCATTTTTGCAATATCGAATTTAGGTTGAAAGAAATAGGATTGGGTGAGGTAGTAGGAAAGATAGGAAAAGTGTTGTCTAATTTTGGTGGGGAGTATGCTTGTGTTGACATGGGATAGAATGCAGACTTTGAAGCGAAGAATGGGGTTTTTTGTGGCTCAAAGCGGTCATTTCTCAATAGTTGGATTTGTTCCTTGATTGAAATCGTCTCCTTTTGTTGTTGTTGGAAGAACTGGAAAAGTGAAGTTCCTGGCGGACAAATCTCATATTGTAAATTATTCAATCTCAGTTCCAAGGCTTTGATTAGTCCTACATGCTGAGACAATGTCTGCTCCACCTTTTTCTCAATTGTTTCCACTTTGCTCATTAACTTTTTTTGTGCATGGGCCACGTTTTTTATGGTGTTGCCAATATTGTTGAGCACTTTGTTCTGGCAGATGGAATTTTCTGATTGCCAGTTCATTGTCGCTTCAATGTCACTTGTTGGGGGGTTTTTCTCCAGAAGGTAGTACTATATTTTTCTTGGGGATTTTTGGTGCATAGCTAATACCCTCTTTTTCAAAAGGTTGAAGTGGAGGAAAATCTTGGGAATGGCTGGAACTTGAAGGGTTCAACATGAATATTTGTGGATATGTGGACTTTTGAGTTGATGGAGTTTTAGGTTCAGGTGGCTTTTTGGATTCTGGGTTACGAGCTGATGGTGGTTTGGGTTTTGGGGTGGTTTCACTATCATCCCAACTTGGAGTGAATTTTTTTGGTTATTTTAGCCATTCCTGGGGTTCATAACTGACAAGAAATTCATATTTACCTGGACGGCTTAATGAGCCAATTGAAGGATCTTTATTTTCATATTTGGCTTGAAATTGTTTTTCAGTAGTTTTCTCCTTTTTCTTGGATTTTGGTTGACGCTGGTGTATTCTCCAATTGGATCTTCTAAACAGTCTTGGCAGGTGCAACCAAGATCCCATGGGTAGTGTCAAGTGAAGGGGCATTTGAACCACCACATTCTTTTTCCTTCTTTGTCAAAATATTGGCACCGGTCATGTTCTTCCATGATGCTTTGTATATTCCAGAAGAATTCTTCGTCAGGTTTGATACCAGTAAGGAACAGAGCAAGAGACTCCAAGAAAGCAAACTAAATCATAGATACGAAAGTTTCCCTACAAAGGGGCTGGCTTCAACAACCCATAAGGGACGGCTTGCCAAGCTACACAAACAGTTAATTTGCTTATAGTCGCAAAAGTTTTCCTACAAAGGGGCTGGATTCAACAATCCATAAGGGACTGCTTGCCAAGCTACACAACTCAGAAAACTTTTGTACTATAACCAACGTTAGCTGTTTATAACTCAAAAAACTTTCGTACTACAATAAGCTAACTTTCTTAGAGTATTCTTACTTTATTTTCATAAATGGACCGGCCTTTCCATCCATTCGAAAGAAAGAACAAGAGGGCAATTTAGAAAGCACTCATATGTAACATATCACAAGAAGTTTGACAAAGGTTACAAGATGATCCTACAACTACTAGAAGGCCTCCTTTATATAGGACTAGGAGGTTATTACAAGACAAACTTTCATGATAAAATAAACCTATCTTACATGGCAAACTTATCTACAAGTGGGTCCCTCTTGGCATGTGAAGGACTTTCGGCAAAACAACTAAAAAACACCTGAAAACATGTGAAAGGGGTGAAATATACATGGTGTAGCATGTGAAAGTATGAGGGAGCATGTGACGCCATGTGAAAGTATTGTGTTGCATGTGACGAAGCATGTGGAGGCATGTGGAAGCATGTGAAAACAAGTGGAAGTGGGGCCCGGATAGTATGGAAAGATGTGGAAATTTGTCTTGGCATGGGTAGGATATTTTTGAGGGTTTTTAGGTAGGTAATGTAGGATTATGGTGGAATTAGCAGGGATTTAGATAATCATCCTTTATTGATTCTAGGGTTGTCTTCTAGGCATCTTTTCAAAGACCTTGTGTAGTAACGTCTGGAATTTGACGGTCCTTCTTCGCTGTGCTCTTTCTCTTTTGGATTGAGAGATGTAATACGCAACCTTAATTTGGAAATGTCATGAGTAATATTTTCTCGGATGACTTTGTATGGGGTTTGATATTCTTTTGCTGCTTTCGGACTCTTTCCCAGTGAGGATGATTGCTTGTATAATTCCAGCTTGCCCAATCTTTTGGCCATATCTCTCTCGTAATGCACTTGTTTTTTTGGAAAAGGATTCTTTGTGCCTCGCTATATTCTTCTTCCATTGATAAAATTGACACGGGAAATTTCCACCAGAATGATGCCTCTGCTTGCGCCTGGACTTTTCCATTAATAATCTTCACTGGCCTATGAAACATGAATACTTTTGCTGTGTAGGAATCGTTGAAACATTTTATCCAATATCTTCTAGGTTTGAACCATAGCAAAAATACTTTAAGAGCTGGTGCAATGTTATCAAAATCCTTGAAGACGTTGCATTTGAATTCCATGAAAATATAATATTGATGGCATAGGTACCAGAAAAACCATAATAGTTCTTGTGGAAAATCCTTGGCTTCAGCTATGAATATATGGCAGAACGGATATTCTGGATTGACCCCATATGGCTTGAGAATGGATCCACCATGTTGCCGGAAAACTTGGAGCTCATAATAAGTTCTTCTTTCCATAATAATTGACGGATCAAATGGATCCATGAGGTTGAACAACTCCGGTGGATGATCCGTTGGCTTCAATGAACTTGTTCCCGGTATATTCGAAAGCATGAAGATGTGGCTGATTAGCTTTTGCTTTAACTTCAATTTTGCTGGGGAAAATCTCTTTGAGAATTCTTCCGGTCGAGACAGAAAATCTGCGAGAATATTATCCTTTCCTTTCAGGTGCCTGACTTGAAACTTGTATGGAGAGAACCATTGAGCCCACCTGAGAATCTGAGGATTGGGAATAATTTTTGCATTTAGCTAAATCATCTTTGGGAAGGCCTTTATATCCATTTCTATCAGAAATTCTGTATGAATAAGGAAGAAATTAAATTTCTTGATTCCATTCTTTACTGCAAGAATTTCCTTGAAAGTGGAGTGATAATGTTGCTCGGCATCTTTGAACTTTCCACTGGCGTATCCTCACATTTTCCTCCGGCCTCGGAGAGAGGGTAGGATTTTTGCGGCCGCAGAGACGGCGGATAAGGCAGCGGATGATGTTCAGTCTCAGTGGCAGAAAACCAATACTGTTCGGAACTTCACTTCTAGAGCTCCATCTCCCAGAATCAAAACCTTCTTGTTCTAAAGGCATGGCTCTCTCGCATCTTATTCTACTACTTTGTAGAGGAAGTCAGTCGTGAATCTCGGTATAACTTTGTTACCTTAGCCTGGAAAACAGCCTAGGAAACTAGGCCTCTTTCTATCCCGATATTGAGCCAAGCCCATCCTTTTCTTCAAATAGAACAGCACTCCAGTATTCATTGCTGGCATCAGTTTGCAATATCTTCTTACCGTCTGAAGGGATATAGAGGGACTTGACATTTTTAGAAATCTCCTTTATTTCCTTGACTACTTCATCTTGTTTCTTTCCCCATGGTAGAGCATTTTTCTTGAGCATCTCTGTGAGTGGAGAAATGTATGTAGAGATATTTGGGATGAAATCTCTCACATAATTTACTATACCCAAGAATTGTTGGATCTGTTTTGTTATGAGGTTGGTATTAGGAAATTTGAGTAGTTCTTGACATATATGTGGTCCTGGACTGTATGCACCTTGGACAAAATGCATTTCAAAAAAATCAATCTCTTTTTGGGCAAGAACCATCTTTTTTGCTGAAAGCATGATACCATAGTGTGTTATCAATGCCTCAAATTAACAAAGCAAGTTGACATGTTCCTCCAATGTATCACTAAAAAACAGGATATCATCAATGTAAACCAATCTTAGCTAGGGTTGTTGTGGGCCCTCGACTCTATTCTCTTTAGCAATCCAAAGCTCGAGAGGTGAGATGTTTAGTTGCAAGTCCAAGTACCCGTGCTAATGGTCTAGAACTTGCCCTGAATGCTTGTCTAGGCGAAATTCTAAGTGTAGCTTGGCTTGAGAGATGATCGTAGGCTCTCCTTGATCCAGTTTGAAATTTGAAATCTTCTGTGGCCTACCAATGTGATATCCCTATTCAACCCCTTTGAGCCGAAGCCCTTTTTTTTTCCAATAACCACGTTACAGGCCTTCATCCGTTTTGTATTGACCCTCTCTTGGCACCCGATCTTTCCTTAGAACTCTTGAGAAACAATTGACAAAAACATAAGTTTGGGGGAGAGAAGAGGAGTTTGAAAGTGATAAAAGGTACAAAGAAGAGAAAGAAATGAAGAAAAGGAAAGGCAAAGAAAAGAAAGAAAGAACAAAAAGAAAAATGTCAAAATGAAAGTGAATAAAGTAAAGAGTTGAAGGGAATTCAAAAAAAAAGAAAGGATGAAGTAAATAGAAAAGGAGAAAAATGAATATCATGAACAAGAAAGAGTGACATTACGTCTCTAGTTCCCCCGAGGAAGAAGAAAATGACTCAAAAAGTCGAGAAAGTATGAGCCGAAAAGAGAAAATGGAGTGCTTAAGGAAAGATAAAACCATTCTATTCCAACTAGTCCTACCTTGGTCCAAAGCCTTCATTACATCCTGCAAAAGTCCTACATGATATCAAGTTGAGTGAGCTTACATTAGTGGTGATTTACATAAGGGGCAAGCTTATGGTACTCAACGCCGGACTTGTGACATTCTTTTGAGAGAGATGAGCGAAGTTTTCACCAATCCTTACCTTGAGTGTTTCATTCTAAAGTGAGATTTGCTAATAGAGAATAGAGGAGGAGGAGTTTGGGATCCACAATGACCTACATGAAAGAGAGAGCTTCCTTGATGAATAGAGTCAACTCTTGATGCTCTAGCGTCACACTAGAACTATTGTACTCAAAAGGTCAATCATTGCGTTGTTGATAATTCATATGTGTTGTGGGTAATTGTTGGCCCCACTCGATGTGTAATTGATTCACCTTAGGCTAGCTGAAATATCTCTTTTTCTAGTGGAGGTGGGAATTGCCTTATTTACTTAAGGACAAGAAAAAGCTTGAGTTTGGGGGAGTTGATAAGCAAGGATTTTGATCGCTTATTTGCTCTCTTTTACTTGCGTTTTAGCTCAAAAATGCTTAAAGGTATTTCCGAAAACTAAAGAAATGTGTTTACTTGCAAGAATATTGGGAAACGAGCCGGAGAAGTCAAAATCAACTCATAAAGGAGTCAAAAGTGAACAAGAACCAAAACTAGGCAAAAAGGCTAGCAGTGCGGACCGCACAATTCTAGTGCGGCCGCAGAAGGGAGATTCAGAGAGTGGTGTTTTGGCTAGCTCAGGGAGTGCGGACCGCACTGAAATTGTGCGGCTGCAGGAGACCAAGTGCGGCCGTATCAATTATTATGCGGTCCGCAGGATTGAAGATTCAGAGAGCTGGAAAGTAAAGGAGTGCAGATCACATCAATTTTGTGCAGCCGCATAATCCTAAGTGCGACCGCACCCACTTTTATGCAGACGGCAGAAGCCTCAAGTCCCAAGCCCAAATTCCCAAGACTGCGGACTTGCACGATAATTGTGCAGCCGCAGAAGCCCATTGTGCGGACCGCACCAGAATTATGCGGCCGCGCAACCTTCGTAGGGGCATTTTTGTCAGATATTTTCAGCTTAGTATAAATAGAAATTTTTGTCATTTTTAGGTTAAGTTTAGTTTGTAGAGGTGCACCTGAGCGGTTTTCTTTACTTATTTGAGTGATTTTGCACTAGATTGACTTCTTAACATTAGATTTTCTTTGTTTAAACAATTATTATGCATTCTCTCTTAATTTCTTCTTGTATTTCTTTATTTTTTATGAGTAGCTAAATCTTTAACTAGGGTTGTGGCTCAACCCTAGTGTGGGTACTTAATGGGTATTTAATTTTAGGGCTTGTTTCTAATTCGGTTAGTGATATTTAGCCTTATTTATGCTTAACTTCTAGAATTAATGGTTGCAAACATTGATTCATGCATTTTTGACCTAGTCTTTGCGTGATTTGTTTTTATGTCTAGTGCAATTGGCGCACTAATATATCTTGCTAGAATCATAAGTATAACAATATTCTAGCGAGATATAGTTTTACTCCTATGTGGAAACATTGAAATACGATTAGTGTTATATTGCAAAAGGAATCCTTGATATAGATTTGCTTATTCTAACAAAAACTGTCAAAATTTTGTTGGTTATGCAAATGCAGGTATTTTCCTGAAGTTCGCTCTTCAAACAATCTATTTGCATGTGAGGGTTGCCATATTATTATTCTACAAGGCAGTTAATTGTTGATACTTATTCAAGTCATGCCAAGATAAGCAACTGATAAATCAAATGACTCAACACACAACAAACGTGTGACTTTTCTTTGTAGAGAAGATTCCAATAATATTGAAGATGATGTTGTTTGCATAGCTCAATTTAAAGAAGGATATTGTCACGACCCATTTCCTAAATAGGTCATAATGGTGCCCAACACCATTTCCGGGCAAGCCAACGCGGAGAATACTAACTAAACTTTCATTTACCTTTACCCCAAAATAGTTGGAATAATTCTTTAAGTTGAAATAAAATCAGAAACAATTAATAAAGTCATGATAATCATACAACCCCAAAATAATACAGTCTACTAAAGTGTGTGCCAAGACCCGGTGTCACAAGTTGTGGGCAACTAGTAGAATATACAAAAGAATCACACTATCCTACTGTCTGAAGCAGAATAGACAGCAAAAGAAAATACATAAGAAAGACTTCTTCAGGTTGCTGAACGACATGGAAGGGAAGCAGCTCACCGTAGAAGTCTCGAGTCCGCTCAGAGATACGCACCAGACTGATAGCCAGATACACCTGCCTCAGATCCTGTACAATCAAGTACAGAAGTGTAGTATGAGTACATAAACAATATGTACCCAGTAAGTATCCCGTCTAATCTCAAAGAAGTAGAGATGAGAGATCGACTTGACACTTACTAGGGTTAAATAATGTGAGAAAAATTCATAATTAGCATGGATAGCACAAATTATTAGCATTTAATAATCATGGAATAACAGTTCTTTCCCAAGTGTTATCATGGATATTAACCTATATTTCAAGCAGATATGAAATTCAGTCGTCATAGAAATGCTAAGCAAAACATGCGCAAGTAACACTGTGGGACGTACAGCCCGATCCAACATAAAAGTAAATTGTGCACTGCTGAGGGTCGAACGGCTCGAACCATAGATGCATCTATTACCCCGCTCGCAAATCACCCATGCGACGCGGTCAAATATAAATAAGCTCATCAACAAACAAACAATAATGTATATCTGAGGAGTAGTTATTCACAGGAATACTCAATATTCTCTTTTAAAAGACCAAACAAGATAAGATTCCTTCACTAGTCTCATTTACCTTAATCAAAATAGTTTATACGAATCCGAATTTATCATCAAGTTACAAGAATATCACGTAGAGCATGCTTATCGGTCCTAGACTACCCGGACTTAACATAATAGCCGCTACACACAAACTCTCGTCACCTAGTATGTACGTAGCCTCCGCATATAATGGCAATTAATTCAATTATTATACCTATGGGGACAATTCCCTCTTACAAGGTTAGAAAGGAGACTCACCTCGCTCCAAAGTGCACTTCCAATACAAAGAACGCGTCCAAGCCCTCAATTCGGAGCCGAACGATCCCAAACTAGTTAAACGAAGTAAGAACTAGTCAATATAGACTCACAAGATCGAATTCTAGCTATTTAAGAAATTTCCCAACCCTAAATCACAAGTTTCCCAAAATTCGACCCCGGGCCCATGTGCCCGGATTCCGAGATTTTTCGAAGGAAGTTGTTCTCTACATCCTAAGGATCAATAATATATGATTTTTAATTTATTCCATAACAAATTTCGTGGTTAAATCTAAGTTTTATTAAAACCCTAGGTTTTTGCTCTAATCCTATGATTTCACCTTAATACTAGTGTTTAATCTACTCAAGACATAAGTAATAATCTAGAAATGGGTAGGACTAACTTACCTCAAAATGCTTGGTGAAGGTTTTCTCTCAAGAGCTCTAAAATCGCCAATAGAGGAGTGAAAAGTGTTAAAATTGGTTTGGAACCCGTATTAAATGAACCTCACTGCTTTAGCGATTTTCGCATCTGCGGTCAGGGGACCGCATCTGCGGTGCCGCATCTGCGAGAAATAAACCGCATCTGCGAAATGGGGCGAAGGGGCTGGGACCGCTTCTGCGGTCTCTAGGCCGCATCTGCGGAGCCGCTTCTGCGACTTGGGAGCCGCTTCTGCGGTTCTTAGCCTGGATACCCTGGGCCGCTTCTGTGATGAGGGGACCACTTTTGCTGTCTCGCACCTGCGGTCCATTAACCGCAGGTGCGGTTATGACAGAAGCAGCAACCTTCAGCTCTTCTAAAAAGATTTCACTTCACTCGAGCCTCGTCCGATTGACGCTCGGGGATCCTGGGCCCCACCCGAACATACCGATAAGTGTGAAATCACGAGATGGACCTACTCGAGCCTTCGGAACAACCGAAACAACGCTAAATCTAGAAATCACCCCCTCAAACCAAATGAATCAAACTTATGAACTTCAAGTTCTTAATTTTCCTCCAATGGGCCAAACACCCTTAAGCTACTCGGATTGACACCAAATTCTGCAGGCGGGTCTTAAATGATATTTCGAACTTGTACTGGGCTTCGGAACCAATATATGAGCCCGATACCCATGAAATCAATC